GACAAAGCCCGTAAAGGGGGGAAATGTATTTTGGGGGGGGGGGCCCTTGGGGGTTGTTGCAACTTTCGTGGGGGTTTCCCCGGGGGGGGGGGGGGGGGAACCTTTGGGAAAAAACCCGGCCCCGGGTTTGGGGGGAGTGGCCGGTTCCGGGGGGGGGGAATTTTATTTAAAATTTTCCCCCCAAAAAAACCCCCCCCCCCCCGCGCGCGCGTTTGGTAATGGGAGACCCTGTTCCGGGGAAACCCCGGGGTGTTCTTTCCGGGGTTTGTGGGGATGGGGGGTCAATGGTTTTAAGGATTCGGCAAGCCCCCCTTTGGGGTCCCCCCCCCCCCCCCCCCGGATGACAACAATGAGCTCTGTGTGGCGGGCATGGTATCTTCGGTGGCCTTAGTACTTGATTTGATCATTTTCATGTTTTGGGGTCATGTTGAGCTGCAATAACATCAACACCGGGTGTGGTATTCGGTAGGACTTTCCTATTTTGATGTTGGCGTGGAGGTATACAACAGCAGCCACAATAATGAGATATTGCAAAGGCCGAGCAGGTACGTTTCCAGCTGAGGGTTTGTGATAGCCCACAGGTGTTTTTGTTGGTTTTCACACGTGTATCGATGAAAGCAACTCAAGGTGCCAAAAGATCTGCAAGGGACGGAGTATCTGATAACCCATGGGTAGCTTTTTTCGTTTGTTTTTCTTTAACGTGTTATCCGGGCATGTTACATCTCTTTCTTCGTCGGAATTCTGAACCCTGCCCAGTTTCGCGCAGAACGCATCGCCTGACACGATTCAGCTACAACTGTATCACTCGCATGCGCTTTCATAGAATGAATGCATGGCCATATCGTTTGTTTTGGTGCGGTTGCACCTTTACTTTCCTAGGCGGGCCCTATGCCCACCGCGCTTTCTATTGTTGCGCTGTTGTTTCTCCTTGGGTGTTGGACGTGGTTCCGCATGGGCTCACTGCCTTTGTCTTTTTTCTTTGGTCATTCCTCAGGTGGACCCGATTACGCGGAAGCAGCAGGTGGCGAACAGGGCGAAGCTCGAGGCAGAGCGGAAGGTACCGTGGTTCAGCACTTGTGACGCAAACGAAAACGTGCTGCTTTATATGATTTTTCCAAGAAATTTCTCGTTGTTTAGTTCCAGATTCCTCCCAAGAGAAACCACGCTTGGTCGGGTGTGGGTGAGTCTTCTTTTCCTTCGAAGGAGCACCCGAAGATGCTTCTTCCGTCTGTTTATAATTACTCCACGATCATGCTTGTTTCGGGGCGTGGTTTCTCTGAAGAACCAACAGCTTGGGAATCCTCCACATGGCAGCAGTATTGTGTAGAAGAATCTAGGTGAAGGAGTCGGTTTTCTCTATTTCCTACCGGTACTATCGCTCTGTCGGTCGGCACATCTCGTGACAGAATCGGTAGACGAGAGGTCGAAAAGGACGCGCGCTCAGTACATTTTGTTTTTTAGACTTCATTTGTACAATTTATCTCAGCAGTATGTATTCTGTTGCGTTTTGCCCCTCACGGCAACGACTTGTGTGCGTGTGGCGGCGGCAACTCGGCAGAGAGGCGCGTTCGAGCGAAGGGCGGAAGAGTTTTCCACGGAGGCGTCCAAGCTGGAGGAGACCATGAAGACCCAGCTGGAGGAGCAGAAGGAGTGGAACAAGGCGTTAGTCGAGAGAAGGATTGTGAGTCACCACCACACCACTTTGTCACCTGGAACAACCGCGTGACCGTGATGCGTTTTTTCCGGGCGGGGGGGTTGGAAAGAGTCACGCTCCGTTAGTAGTCTCAAGAGTCGCCTTCATTCATACACTCCTGGGGCGAACGTGCCTACAATTATAATCAAGCCGGCCGTGTTCGTCTACCGGCTTGAGAGTTTTTTTCGTTTCGTACAGCAACGGGAGAGCCACTGCCTTAGTTGTTGTAGAATGCCTCGCGCTTTCTCTCTCAACCCCCTGGATGAAAACTCGCATGTTTGGTTGGAGTTGTTTGGTTGATGTTGTGCAGTGTTGTTTCCATGGGTTTCGCCCATCGCTGTAGCTGTTCGGTGTGTATCTTGTTGTCTTTTTTTCGACGCGTGTTGAGTGAGCAGTGCACCACCGTGCGGGATATAACTCGAACGCATGCGGTCCCCGACCCCAATTGTAGCCGTGGGCAGGAGGCTGTGGAACGGCAGAACATGCTTTAGACCCGTTGCCCTCTTGTTTTTCTATCTGGGCGAGGTCCAAACATGCTCTGTGTCGGTTGCCGTGCGCAGGAGGTAGCCTCGGCGAGAAAGTCTCTGGAGAGCACCGAGTCAATCACGAAGGAGGCCGCGGAGGTGGCGAGCGACCGCAAGGCTAGCGAACTCGCTGCGGCGGAGAAGGCACGGCGGTCTAGGGCCGCGCGGGAGGAGTTCTTGCAAGGTGGGAAGGAATTAATAGAGCGCGTGTGTGTGGGGGGGGGGGGGTTGGTAGCGTGGAGTTATTATCTCATGGATGAAGTCCTTTTTTTTTTCAGAACTTCACACTTTTTTGCCATGGATCCAAGTTCCTCAATAGTGAATTGCATTGGTTTTGTAAGGATAACGGACATTTCGCCGCACTTTTTTGGCATAGACTCGAGTTATCAAGAATGAACAGCATTTTTTCTCTGAGGAACAATAGCGTTCCGAGGGCGTTGTTTCTATGTGCGGGCGGCAGTACTGGAGAAGTCGAAATATGGTGTGTTTGGCATGAGATTCGTTTGGATACGTCGCATGGCCTTGCAGAGACTCGGCGAGGGCATTTCGGTGTGTTTTTGGCATGCTCACCGATAATGGAACCGGGAGTCGTCACCAGCTACAAAGGGCCCCGGAGCTTACGTGCTCAGGAGCTTGTAAAGAGGGTGACAGGGAAAGCGAGATAGAGGGGGAATCGAAAGATGGGGGGGGGGGCATGTCAGACACATGGGAAGACGGATTTAGACAAGAGGATCGCCTACATGCGCAGAGGTTAAAAAGACAATCACCCTTTTCAGGCACCATAGCCCGAAGCACACAGCTAAGAGGCCGTTCCCTTGTTTCCCCACCAACGACATAAGCCTACACCCAACACCGAAGTATTTATCTTGACCCCTCCCCTCCCCCCCCCTCGTTCCCCCCTCGTCGTGGACGACCTCTCGTGCTCTCTTATTTGTGCTTTATTTTTGTGCCTGGTACGCAGCGTCCGCTAACTCGGAAAAGAAAGTATCCACCGCAGAGGCCACGGTGACCGCGGCAGAGAGGCGACTGTGGGAGGTGCGCGCACTGGTGTCAAGTTTCAGTAGTAGGTGTCACGTTCAGATGCGGCACGTCCTCTCCGTGAGGTGGCCAGCTTGTGAAGGCTGGCCCCCTTTGGCAAGGACATGTGGCCGCTCTCTGCCTGCAAACCGCCCTCCGAAAGGGCCCGCGAAAGACATGGCTTGCGGTTTGCGAATCCGATCTAGCCCGGTAAAAATCGGCGTCCTGGAAGGCTGTCAATCGTGAGCGGTTGTGGGCATCTTGCTTCTTGAAACTCGCTTTTTCTATTACTGTTGCATGTGGCGATTCCGCCCTTGGCCTTGCCGCCTTGTAGAGCACGTCAATGTTGCCGTAGCACCCCGTCGTAAGTTGTTTTGTTGGCCAGGACAGTGCTTTACCCACCGCCCCGCAGCAACCAATCTCTTCGGTTTTGTTTGGAACGAGCGTGAGCAGTGATCCCCCAATAGATGTACCTCCCTACCGTTCCTCTAAGCCTGCTTGGAATGCGTCCCGTATTCTTGTCGGGAAAACTCTCTTGGCCCTCCCTGCTTTCGTCATCATCCAACGTCGCATACGCTGCAATTTTGTTGTATCTTTATCTTAAGAGTATGTGGAATCGCCATTCATGTCCGACCCTTCGCTTTTCTGCACCCTACCGGTTGACTTGATTCGTCACTGATCTTGGCCGCAGGCGCTCAAGACGTTGGACACTGCGCGGCATATGTTGGCACTGACGTACGAGGAGGCGACCGCCTTGGAAGGGACGCGAGATCAGGCAAGCTTTGACGCCTTAAGCTTCACACCGGCACACCCGTCAGGGTCGAGGAAGCACCGTGAAGATTGTTCTTTTGTGTTCTTGGAGGCATGGAAGTTGCCGTTATCTAGTTGCAGGTTGACGGGAAATGGATGTTTGCATCGCCTGGATGCTGACAAGTGCACCACCAATGGAACATGCAGCACAAGCATAACCTGTAGGAGTGCGAGAGCGTTAACAGAAGGGTGCACCCCAATCCGCCCGGCCTCTGCACCCCCAGTCCTCCCCGAACGCTATTTTTTCTTCGCCTTGGATACCCCCCTCCTCCTTCCTGACCGCCCCCCTGCCCCACGTACGAAAGTTGGGGAATCTCTCATGAGATGCAGCTGATGGTCTCGCTTGCTTGTCCTGTTTCGTGCTCTCTTTTCTTTGACGGGCATGCACCCAAATGTTTCCCAGCCTACCGTCGAACACAATGACGACACCCACCGGCCGCCCGCGTGTGTGTACATATACGTTCAGGTGATGGCCGACACAGCATCGGCAGAAGGAGTCTTTGAGGAGGCGAAGGAGGCCACCCTAGAGAGCAAGGCGGCCTTGTCGCAGCAGCGGACGGACCTCGCGGCGCTCCAGAGGGAGTTCCGGGAGAGCAGCAGGCGGGAGGAGCAAGCCATGGCCAAGATCAAGGAGGTGCTAACATGTTGACAAGAGTTGTTGGATGTTCGGGTTTAGGCTTGAAGGCTCGCGATTGGCGGCCGCCCCCTTCCCCCCGATTGAGAACGTTCCATTGAAAGTAGACGACAACCACAGAAAGACTAATACCGGTTCGTGATGTTGCCCGATTCGATGGGGTGTGTTTGAAGTCTTTTCGGCAGTGAGTGATGAGTTTTTTTTTTTTGCTAGGTGGAAAGGGGTTCCCATCGGTGTCAAGAGGGTTGCCATTCGTTCACGGAATCATCGAGAGTTACCCTGGGATGGCCACGATTCCGTTCCCGCAAAAGCATACCACTCGCCTACATTCCCCCCACCGACCTCACCAAAATCCCCCTCACCGGCCGGGAGGTTCGCACAGTCAACAGTATTGGGTTTTTATCACGCGGGGAGCACCGGCATTGGAATTCCACGCCCAAAACAACTGGCGACCTTGTATTGATGTCTTTCTCCCCTCCGTTGCTGCCGCTAACCCCCTCCCCTCCCCTTCCCAGCTCGGCGATGCGGCGGAGTCCATCGGCGCCCGCGCCCTCCGCAACCGGAAGTCCGCCGAGGAGAGCAAGGTGGCCGCTCGGCGCGAGGCCGGGGCGATTGACGCCGCCGCCCGGCAGGAGTCTCGCCTCGCCGCGGAAGCCGTTGCCGCGAAGGCGAAGCTTGAGGCCGCCGCCGCCGCAGCTCAGGAGGAGAAGGCTAAGCGCGACCGGGCGGAGGCGGCGAGGGCGGCGGCGGAAGCCGTGGAGCGGGCGCGGCTGGCGGAGCAGGCGGCGGGGGCGGCGGCGGAGGCGGCCATCAAGGCGGCGACGGCGGCGAGACAGGCGACCTTGGAGGCGGTGGCGGCGGCGGAGAAGGGTGAGAATCCGGAGACGATCGGCGAGATGGCACCTGAACACAGGGCCTTTGAATCCATATCCTCTTCGACGGTGGATGCGGCAGGGGGCGGGGAGCACGCTCCGGAGGATCCTGCGGCAGGAGAGCCCGGGGTGGAAACCTTGGCGTCGTCGGGGACAGCGGTGGTGCCTGATCCGCGGTGACGCCGGAGTCCATGGAGGCGACTGTCGCAGGCTGCTGACGCGCGTTTCTCGCGGAAGAAGGCCGCGGCAGGTCCGGCGGCAATCGAGGGAGCTTCCGAGCAGGATGGGGAGACGCGGCGGAGCAATCGGTGACAATAGGGGTGGCGGAGAAAGCACCGGCGGTCGACACGGCTTCGGTCTCGGTTGCGGATTGTTGGAAGCGGCACGAACGATGTGCGGAGCAGCGTGGAAAGCAGTAGGGACACGTGCGATGGTTGAAGTGCGGGGATGAGCATCGACCCTTCGGGAGGGTGCGCTGCAGGCAGCAGGCAAGTCGGAAAAGGACGGAAGTGAAATTTTAAGGATTAGAAAAACCTACGTACGGCACGGCCGTCGGGTGTGGTTCGTGGATGTGGCCATCATTAGGCCTATTGCTGCACCAAGCCTCCTGCGTGATGAATAGGGCATCGTCCCATGGAGAAATATTTCCAAGTAGGTGCGGGGTGAACGGGACCTTTTCTCGTGGAGGAGTTCACCTGTAGATGAGGGCAGCAGCACGGAAGGGAGCGGCAAAGCCAGAGAAACGCGCCAAATCTGGTAGAGGGGCCAACCTCGAACCACCCATCAAGCCAGGAATATGTTGGGTTAGTCAGCTGCCCCGTGGGTCGGGCATCAAGGGGGAGATGGTGCGCCTTCCTCAGGATACGTGCGCCCTCTACTCTCAGGCGTCCCCAATTTTCCTGCGTGCTCTGACGGCGGTGATTGTCCTGGGGGAGCGGGAACAGCGCACGCCGAGGAAGCTTGATTGTATCGCACCAGCCACTCGAAGGCGCCCCGATTCTGAGCCCAGCTGATGCGGGCTAGATGTACCGCTATGCCGACTATTTTTTTGCGTATTCGTGCGGGTGGGACGATCTGAGGGTCGTATTTACGGAAGCGTGTTTGTCACGAGCGCATTTGTTCTGTTCTTCGACTCTTACAGACGGTAAAGGTATCGACCATAGAGAGGGAGGGGGGTGCAGCTGGGGCGTTGTAGAGGAGCACCAGGGTGTACAGTTTGTGGATTTGTTATGCCAGGCGCGTGCTTCGTTCGAGCGCAAGGCGGAGGATCACGTTGTGACTGTTGCGACTTGTAATTTGGTTGGAATTGTCGAACGGTGTAGGGTTGGTGGTAGATCCTCGTCACCGAACACCCTGGACGTTCGTGTATATTGCTCAAGGGTTGTGTTCAGCGTCCTTTCTTTGTGCCGGATACTGTGCACGAGTAGTGGGAGTAAACATTGGTATCAGCAGCACAACAGCGGAGAGGAAAGGCGCACGGTTGCGACTGCGTTTCGGATCGAATCGAGGAGGCGGTCCCAACGCTCCTCGCTTGTCTTTCCTTGCTCTGGAAACCGCTGAAACGGTGGGCACGTCGTTGGTAGTCGGGGCCGCCCTGTATCGCATGTGCGCCGTTTGTGAATGAGGCTCGCATGCGTTTTGGCAGCAGAAGTACATCATTAGTACATAAGAGTATCATCTATATCGCATGTATGGCGTGTATCGATCTAGGGACTGATCGGGATGGCTGGACCGTGGTAGCCGGGTTTGATTGACGTTTTTTTGCGCCGTATTGTTGTGATGAAGTGTATATGATAATTTTTTATGTTTTCTCCTCTTGGAGACTTTTCAGAGAGCTCGCAAAATTGGCTCTTGTAGTAACTCTCTCGGGTGTTGTGTTCCCTATTCGGGGCTGAGTGCCGCCCCTGGTGGCACGGTTCCGCGTATGCGCTTGTACTTCGTATTGACTGTTCGTGGCGGGGTGCGGGTGACTCGAAGAGATAGTTTTAGAGTCCTTCCTCTGTAGGGATCAAGGACACGGGGCGTACGACTTCTCGGATAATTTTTGGATTTCCGGCGGTGAACGTGACTCAGATTTTTTCATTCGCGACATCAGCTAGCATCTCTGCCCCAGCGTGCAGAAGGACTAATTGAAAACTTGTACCCTCTCCCCGGAATGTGTCCACGCTCGTAGATCTTACTGTCGCCTCGAAGAATATTGTGGTGTTTGTTGTCAGCGTCGTTTTTTCGCCTGGGGTACGGCAACAACAATGTTGATCCTGAAGAAATTCTGGTGAACGCTCTTTGCCTGTGTGCGTCGTGAGCTTATCACGCGTGGCACCCAGAAATCGCATGAGGTGTCAATGACAACCCCCAGATTGACTGGGTAGACACATGTGCCAGCAACACTTCAAGCTGTATGCTTCTATACCGGCGACATGGTTTTCGAACGCAACACGGGGTCGTGTAACATGACCTGTGACCGATCAAGGTCACCGGCCAAAACCGCGCTACACACGTACAAGCACCAAACGGTGGCAGCGCTTTGGAACTACGACACGGTACCGCATTCCCTACCTGCGCGTCAATCACTTGCATACTTACTTGCCGATGGCACCAAAATCGACGTACAGAGCGATTACAACGCAGCCCACAACCGGTTGCAATCCGAGCGCTCGTGGTGTCAATCCCATTACGCTCCGCCGTTTCTCTCGCACGAGCGGATTATGAACACACGCAAACCAGTTGGAAGAGAAGTGCGAGCTTGAAACCCTCTCGCTTCACGAGGACAGCAACGAGTGGCGATCAAGAATTCGAGTGCGTCTTCCTCTCATTATTTCTGCACTTGCAACGAAAAAGAATTCCGAGGGAGAGGCCTGGGCCAGAGGAACTCCCCACACAGCCTCTAGCCATGCTATTGCCGCTGCCTGTGGCGACTGCTACAACGTGATCCCGAATCTCTTCCCCCGCCAGTGGTAGCCACGGAGGACGCGTCCTCCCTCATGACAGATATCAACCGCACCAAGCCCGCCGACTTGTGGGTGCTCTGGAATGCCCTATGTCGAAACTGCAGCTGCTTCTGCCTCAAGGCCGCGGCTTGGCTGAGAGATGTTCCATACAGAGGGGCAACAGGACAACATTACCGTCTTCGGATGTGTAACATATTTAGTGTGCTCGGGGAAGCGCTCTCTTTGTGTGTGTGCCTGCAATACACGTCCTGCGCAATGGCACGTGCGCGGAAGACCGGAGTCTGATCACGGCAAGAACCAACAACTGCTTGGGTACATTATGGCGCTGGTTGTCTGGAAGCAGAACAAAAATATTACTCTCATTCGTAACTTGGCAGGGAAACGCTGTTGCATGTTTCGATCGATTCTGCCACACGCATTCCCATTCTCACGACCTTCAGTACGTCGTTGCCAAGTCGAGTGTAAGTCAACAAGTGTGAGAGCGACTACAGAATAACAAACGTTGATAAACTCTCGAAGAACGGGGAGCCAAACAACGCTTCGTGCTCGCTATCCTGCCCATACCTAATAAGTGAAGCTCCCCGAGATATCCCGCTACCTATGCAAAGAGCCTCTTTGTCGAGGAGTAGGGGGTCGAAGCCATGTGGTTCGATCGGAGCCAATGAGGAAGAAAGCGCGACTCCCGGGGCCATCAACGGCTTCCGGCCGGCTAATCGTTGGGGTGGCCTGTTTATCACCAACCCACCAAAATCGGACGAACGCATTTTGAGGGCTGAGAAGGGGTGACTACATGGTTGTTTTGCAGGGTTTCGCATGCTTTAGCTAGGATCATGCACGCATCAGTCCCACCCGATGCGTAGGTATACGTTCGGTCATTAGTCCATATTGTACGTACAGCAGCAGCAGCATTGTTTCAACGTTTATTTAGTGTGGTTTGTTTGGACCAGTGGAAGCAAAAAGGGCTGCCCACCTTCTATATAACTCTCCGTGAGCGAATGGCCGCAAGGCCACCGATGATACTTGCAGAGGGCCGATCGCAAGGCCTGGGTGGGACGATCGTTTACCCTGCTGGCTATTGGCCCGTGGTTCGGTTCTGTTGGGGTGGTTGTTTTCCTTGCCTCGCCAGCGACCGTCCGTTCTTCTTCGTTCTGCCGTCGTGCCTCGAGAAGCAGCAGCAAATGCTGTTCCGAGGTTTAGGGGCGGAATATATTTCCATATGGCACAAATTAGATGGTGAGGCAGGTGCTCTGCGTACATATGCATGCATAATATTGTGGGCAACGACGCGCGTAAACGCAGATCAGGACAGATAGCGCCCGCAGTTAAGAAAAATTCTGTTAAGAAAAAACGGCTCAAGTTTTTTACGAAAAATAAGAAAAAAGGGCGAAGAAACATAGCTCAATCTCGGCCACAACGTAAGAAGCGCCCCAATAAGAAATATGATGGTGCGATACCCCCATGATATCAGAAATCTTCGGTGCTCCCACCCCCCTACCTAGCTGAACAGAAGTGCATTAATTTTTGTAGGGGGCACACGCTTGGGGGGGAGAGTGGTTATTTTCGCGCCCCCCCCCCCCCGCCCCTGCTGTTCACTGGGCTGAACTGTAGTACTGCCACACATCGCGGACAACCACATGCTCTCCGCTGTTGTACGGGTTTGATGGCACTTTCCACCACCTCTCTTGAGGGCTTGATGAAGTGGATTGATTGTCCTCAGAGAGATCAAAATCAAAGACAGAAATAAGAAATATGAAGTACTTGTAAGGAACAAGATAATCGGGAGGATGTGACAGCAGTCCAAAGCAGTAAGAAATGCCTCTTCAGAAAATGGACGACTTGGGCCGGTACTTCGACCCAAAATAAGGGATTGAGGCTCCACCCGATTTTGACTTTTCTTTACTGCGGGCGCTATCTGTATAACTGCAACAACGGCAGAAATAGACGGCATTGACGGACAAGGACGACTCTGGAGATGAGCGTAGAGTCGAAGTGGTACACCGGAGAGAAGGACAGAGAGTATCCCCTTCCCACAGCACAGTACTGTAAGAACAGTACCTGAGGAGAAATGACCACTTTCCCAACCATCGCAGGTCCGAGGTAAGCTGCTGTCGCCATGTACCTCATCCCAGCCTTGGCTAGGGGGAGGTCCGGTACCCGTACGCCATCGAGCCTTCAGCAACACCGACTTATTCTTGGCGCACGAGGAACGGGGTGGGGAGTTTGACCATGGCTCAACGCCAGTGTTCAGGCTCATTGGTAAGGGCTCGGGGCACAGGCCTCGAGTGTTCTATGAGTGACTGGGCGAGGTTGCAACTGAGAGGGAGAGAAGAACCGAACCCGAGATGGAGGCGGAGACAAACCGGGCCGGCGATGCCGTAATCCCGCCGCGTTTTTGAAACGCTCACCGATGCTGGCGGCTCTCTACAACTCCTGCAACTATTTGCACGCGCTATAATGGGCGCTATATCGCGCCTTTGCTGGGCAGAAAGGTACACTGGTTCTAGCATCAATGACGGATTTCGAAAAATGGGACAGGTTCGACGCGGACGCCGCTGAAAAGGAGATAGAACGAAAGGCGAGTGTAGACGGCGAGCGTCGGAACATCAGGTTGCGCCGCATGTCCCACCATCACCTACTCACCTACATATATAGTGGGCGTCACTGCCTTTGTCGGCACCCTCGGAGATATCACTACATCGGCGGCATGTGGTAGATAATGGAGTAGCGAAGGGTGTATCATGTGTCCTTTGTCTAAATTGCAAGCCTTTTAAAGAAGTAGTCCAAGGGCTACACAGGCACTGCCGTGTAGTCTGTTTCCTGCAGGAGAACCGTTGCCCCTGCAACAAGATACCGCTGTGCTCTGACTCCAATGCTACCGCCGTGTCACATTCCAACTGCGCAGGCGGTCGTTGAGGAGGCGAAGCGTGTGATCATCGCGGAAGAGCAATTGGTTCTCAAGTACTGCCAAGATCGTGCCGCTAGGCTCAAGTCGGAGGTGAAACCTCTTGCTTGCTACAAATAAAAATGCAAAGTACAAGACGGCGAGGTGCAGTGTTGTTCAAGCGCAGTACTTGAATGCCCCGAAAGATCTTCCGATGTATCGCCCTGTGCTCTTGGGCGTGTTGTGTACGCATGCACCTCTCACGCTTGGTTTGGGCGATCTCCTTGTTGCAACGAGTACCGCCGCCGCTGTTGTTACCCCCTGCAGTTGCTCTCGCGAAACACGAAACCGAGGCACGGCCTAACTCGTGTTCTCGCATCCCTTGGCGATAATGTTGAGACTTCGGATCTCGGTTATGCGGCTTTCGCAATTTGTACTTTGTAGGTACATGGTACGCTCGCTCGTGAGATCATGTGATGGTAGGACCTGACGCGGTTATGTTGAGGCTTCAGTAGCGGCTACCGTTTAAGAGAGGGGTGTGACAAACCCCTATTTTCCTCTTACATACTGTACCTTGTTTCCTAAATTCTTATTCCGTGCTGGCTACCGTATAAGAGAACATTCTCTTGAACTGTGAACATGTTAAGACAACTTCTCTGAAACCGTAGAGTTTGTGGAGGGCTTCTCACTCATTTCATCACGTCGTCAGTAAGCGTTAGCACCTTGCTCTACGTAGCTCCACACCTGCTCCATGTTTGTCGGCAGCAATGTACCCACCGCAAGGACCGGGTACACTCCTGATACCTGCGTGTTGGGAATTAATCAGTGTGGTATGATATTTTTTTGCTCGTGGATAAGCGCGTCCGTTCGCTGTACGTAATTCATGGGTTGTTTGTGACGTTTGGTGGGCCTGGCGTTTGATCGGGACCGCTGCGCAGCGGCTGCCCTGCTGCGCAGGGCATGGTGTCTGCAAGCTGTGTGTGACGGCTACGTTGCTCTTTTTCAGGAGTTAGATTTTAACAGAAAATCTCAGAAATATGAAAATTCTCTATTATATCGATTTTGGTCGTGACACGCCTGTGTGACTCCCTTAAATAGTTTATCTTAAACTGTGTGGGAGGTACCGCACTGTGTACACAGGACTTGCTAGGTGAAATCATGTCGTGGAAGGATCTGACGAACTCTCATCACGTTTACCATGAAGGCATGCATAGACTTGGTAAGAGCCGGGGACAGCATTGCTTTGGCTTCGTGAAATTTGCCCCGTAAGTTCGTAACATATGCATACGTGAACACAAGTGTAGAGGGATGTCATCTAACAAGCTCAATACTTCGCCGCGACCCAAAGACCATCGCTACTTGCCCCGAACAAAAAGAGCTATCACCTCTCCAACTTCCTCCACGCCCTCCCTACCAATGTCCAGGCCGTGGTAAGCGCGCTGAAAGCCAAACGCGGGTCACGACGACGATCCGCTACTACCACCGAAGCCACAGGCAACACCGAAGACGGGGTCTCGTTGGACGGGGCGCCGAAGAACGTTGGCGCTTTGGTTGCGAGGACGAGCGCCGATGAGGCGCATGCGATCTTGAAGGGATTGCGACGGGGCCTCGAGCTGAGGGACGAGATCGTCGCCGATGCTGAGGCAGGGAACTTTCATCGAGGTGAGTTTCGATTCGCCTCTCAGAACAGCTGGCGCAGCCGTTGGTAGGGCCCACTAGAGGGACAGATATCCAACTTGTGGGAGGGATTTCTGTAACGTTGATGGCGTGTTTCCGCGGCCGTTAGGGGTGTAACGGGGGCGGGATAGGGACTCGAAGTGTAATCCACTTCGGCATCTCTATTTCAAACTGATCAACATCAACGAGAAATCTCTCGTAGCACCGGTTCTAGTGCTTCAGTCAATAGCAGCATCTAGACGCCCCCCTAACACAATGACTACACTAACGTCGTTTGTTTGCTAGGGAGACGCTTGATGATTGTAATACGGATATCGCTTGCACAGGTAGAAGGCAACCACTGTATCAGCCACCTGGCCACATAAACTCGTCTAGCATCACAGGTGCCTTCGCGCTTGTGCCACCAATAAACCGGTTCCATTTATTGTAGTGAGCAATGTGATAGCTACTTGAAGACCATTTTATGCACCGGGAAAATCAAAATGAACGAACATTCGTCGCCGACTTCTCTTGAAAATGGGTTGATGTGATCGCCATTCAGCGGAGGCCCCTGTTCCACGTTTCATGACCGCAAACGCGCAGTTACGCCATCCTCAACCACCCACAAACGCAGTTACGCCACGCCCTAACCACCCACAAACGTACCCCAGGAACACGGACAGCTCGTGAGTGTCTCGTCGAGCTAAGCGCTGCGCAGAAACTCCTCGGCAAGGTTGTGGCCGTGGTGTCGCCAGGTGACACTGGTGACAACCACGGCTCAGCAACGCAAGGGGCGGCGGGTGCTACCGGCGGGACGTGCTGTGGCCACGGCGGCCACGATCACGCACACGCTCACGCACATCACGGGCACGCGCACAGCGTTGACACCGGACACGTGGGACAGGGCTGCGCTTCCGACAGCGGTGGTGGGGTGCGCGGTAAGTCGGCTGCGACTGGCGTGCCAGCGCAAGCGGACGGTAGGGAAAATGACGAACCGGAGGAGATCCCCAAGGCTTTGGAGGTCTTGCGCCGTGCCAAGGCCGCGTGTAGGGTGGCGGAAGCGGCGTGTCTGCTGCGCGGGGGGCGTGTGGCCCAGTCTACTGAAGTCTTGCGGGAACTCCTCTTTGAGGTGCGGTGGCTGTAGCCCGAGGACTGAGAGAACGCACATTGATACTCAAAAGGAGAACCCCCTCCAGAATTACATACTTCGAAGATAGGATATGTGTCGCTACAACGAGCGACAGCTGGTAGATGTAACTGTCGTCAGACGTGTGCGTCCACGGGCGGAGGTGCGTGTCACTGAGAGGCGTGTTCCTCGACACCCCAAACAACCGAATCGGTGAAAAACTTCCCCGATCGGTAAATAAACAATAGGCGCAATATGTTTCCTATCGCTGAAAGCACGCCTTGCTCGACACACAACAGGTCAAATTGGCTTTGCTCACAATAGAGCGGTGATACAAGCACAAAGATGAGCACCAACACAGAGGACAGCACACTTGTAAAGACCCTGTCCGCCCGACCTGCTGTTTTCAGCACTGGGCGCATCACAAACTGGGTGTCGCCTGCGATTTCCTCAAGTTCTTCCGCTCATTTTTCCCATGGTGACCCAGGCGTGACCCCCCCTTTTTGCCGCTCACTGTCGAAATATAGACGAACTCAACAATCATAGAGAGGCAGCGGCGCTGAGGGCCAGTATCGTATGCATGACCAATCCGAAAGAATTTGCCTGTCGGAGGCCCTATTGCTCTCTACTGCTGCGTGGTGCAGTGGGTTTGTGGGGCTGTCTCCGACCCAAAACAGGCCATCTCACCGCATTTTTGCAAACGGCAGTTTGGCGAGGTTGTAGACATCTCTCACACACCTTCTAGAGCAGCACCCAAGCCCCCAATACCCACGAAGCAGCACAGCGCCGAGAGTGAGGATCATCCAGAGAGCCAAACAGGAGAATCAGCGCGTTGGAGGCCTTGGGGCTGCTGCTGTCCTCATTCTACTGTTTCCGTGTTTGTTATGTGTGGTACAAAAAATCCTCGCGCGTCAACAGCAGCAGCAGTCGAAGGCGAGGGCAATGTCTCGATTTGGACAAACAACGACGAGCGGCTTTACCGCTGTTCTATCCGCTGTGCCCGCTGTGCATGTGTCGCTGTGCCCGCTGGGCGTGTGTTGTCTGCTTTACGTGTGTGCCTGTCCTGCAGCTGCAATCGGTTGTGTGCTCCGGAAAAACAAATTGTGCTGGCCCCCTTTGTAATATAAAAGTGATGTAGTCTAAAACCTATATCAAGCGTGTACAGACACGCAAGATTTTGTTTTTATTTTCAGCGAGCCCTTGCAACTCGGGCGGCAGGCAGTCCAGGCTAGACACCTCGCTTCACTCGAATAAGAATACGCAGAGACGGTAGAAATGGGCGAGAGAGATGGGGGTGGGGCAAATGTTTATCGAAATCGCAGCACATGCAACGACAGCTACGGACCTGCAGAGCGTAGCCGTAACAAAACAGAGGTTGCACCTCCGCCCCACCCATCTTGTCAAAAGTAGGAACGTAAACATTGAACCGTAGACAGTATCCCCTGCGCCGGCACCATATTCCTCGCAGGACTCCAAGAGTGTCGCGGCCTGGGTAGCCCGTGGAGAATCATTCCTTGCAATGAACGCCCCGTTGCTAGCTGGACTGCACTTCGACCGAGCACTCGAACTCGATAAAGGGTGCGTGGCTGCTGCAACTCACAAGCAAAACCTGCGGCACGTTTCATCGAAAGGTACATCGGCAGCGTCAGCGGCTTGTGCTGACGAGTCGCATCAAACGCCCGCTGCTGCCGGGGACACAGATGCCGCCCCGCAGAAGATGACGATTCACCATGGGTCTCCCACAAACTTGTCCTCGCGTGTAGGATGTGGCGGCAATGTTGGCGACCAAGGGAGCCTAGCGGTGGCAGGCGACGTCGGTGTCGAGACGCCGGCGCCGGCGGAGGACGGGGCAATATTCACAACGGAGGCGACGGAAGACCCCGCGGTGGCAGCGGAAACGCCGGATGAAGAGGGAAACCCAGGGGTTGCGCCAACAGCAGCGGCTTCTTCTTCGGCAGGAGGGGACCGGGCGGCTGCGAGGGGTGTGAACGACGATGGCGGGAGTGTGACAGAGGACGTTCGACGCTTCGTCGCCGCCGCTTGCGAGGACTACCGCGCGGGCGTGGTTCTCCACCAGGAGGGGTTCCTGTCCTCCTCCCGGCAGAGATTTCTACGAGTGTTGGAAGCACTGGACAAGGCTACGGCGGCAGGTTTGGGGATGCATGCGGCAGTGGCGCGGCAAGATAAAGGAGGAGAGTCAGCGGCTGGGCAAAGTCCATCTGAAAAGGCTGGGTGTGGTGATGGGTGTGAGGGACTCGACGGAAAGAGCGAGGAAGCGTCGTCAGGGTCACAAGTACGGGCGACTTCAAAGTGTGGAGGTGAACGCGGCAAAGGCGGCCATGCAGTGACGGTGGTACGGAATATGCGCGTGGGGTGCCATCTCAACATCGCCGCTTCCTTTTTGCTGCGCAAAACCGACTTGGAATCGGCAGCGATTCATTGCACAAGGTGCGGCCGTAGGTGGCAATTTTTTGCTTGCTTGCTGTTGCTCTTGTTGGCCTTGCTTGTGTGCCTTTGGAAGTAGAACGTGCTTGGCATAAACGTACACCGCGCAATGCGTCGAAGCGAGACCAATACAAGGTACGGTGTTTTCAACAGACCGTCAGAAAGCACCCAACCTTCTCCCCTCCCTCCCGTGCTCGGCACTAAATGTTTCAGAGCTCTGGTTGTCGAGCCCGGGAACAGCCGAGCGCTCGTTCGCCGGGCCCAAGCGCACCAAGAGCTAGGCTACTTCCGCCTAGCGGTGGAGGATCTCGAGGCGGCAGAAGCATCGGTTTTGGCATCAGTTCGAGATGGCCATCGCCGCGGGGAGGGGAGCGAAGCCCTGGCAGGGGAACTGGCGGAAGTTGTGAAACGCTTGGAGCACGCGAGATGGACGAAGGTGGGGCCCGAGAGGTCTGCGTGAGACTAGCATACGAAAGGCCACAAGCTCAAACAAATCCCATGTGTTGGTATTGCAATGTGGCATCATGTGTTGTCTTAGTTGCCTCTGTTGGACTTTCAGGCGGTTCTCACTGGACTTTTCATTCACTCTCTCACCAGGATTGTGTACTGCATCTGCTAGTACTCCTCGAAGACATCCACTAAGAGGTTCATACCTCGTCCTTCCTTGCTTGCACACTGTAGTGTTTGACGCCACAACTCGATCGTGCGTTTTTTTTTCCATACCACAGGTACATGTCGGCAATGGCAATGACGAGCTGCCAAGAGTGTAGGTCAGGTTGACACGGACGGGCAGTGATTACCGATGGGACAAAGAAGCACGCGACATCTTGGAGATGAAGAGATGGCCGCAGACTACCCCGGCGTTCCTTGTGTTGTTACCGAACAAGACACTCAACCCTTTCATCTTTTCAAGCTGGTAGCGCACGAGATTGGTTGCTGAAGTTCTCAAGGAGTGGTGTCGATCAGCGAGATGACCCATGTCACTACTGTGAAATTGTACAAGGCCGATCCGGAAATCAAGGCCGAGGTTCTGCCGCCCAACCACCAAATTGGCCGGCGCAACGCCAGGTTTTGTGCTATCAAATCGTTTTCCAAGTTTTTGTTGCACGCTCTGGCCGGTTTCGCGGTGTGTTTATGAAGGTGTGCCTGCTTATCGTCGGTGCTCAATAAACAATAATGATCACGCCTCCGAATTCCACCAGTTCCGTGGAGAAAACTTCCTTCGCCCATAGTGAGCGTGCAATAAAAGTGTATTCGGCAAGAATTCCCGACCTGAAGTTGCCAGAAAACTTCATCGTTTCTCGCGACTGCTGTATGCCCCCATAAATAGCGGTGTAAGTCGTTTGTCGTCGTCGTTGAATCCGGTGATGCTGAGGAGTGGATTGTTCCATCGTACACAAACCACTATTTCTGATCCAGTCATATTTCAATCGAAGCCAGGAGGATCTCAATGATCCTCACATCCTACACAAATCGATGGCGCACTCTACAAAAACGTGTCTATTCTAAACAACTGTGGCCATCGCTGGCAATTCCAACTCGTCTCTCAAGTGTTTTGACTCGGTCGTTCATCCATCGCGTGGATCGTGCGTGTGTGTTGGCGGGAGAGGAACGACGTGTGTGGTAGGGGCAGGTGGTTGACGTGGATTGGCGGAAGTCTCGCCGCGAAACTTTTGTCGGGACTTTTCCTCGCGAGAGATATTTGCAATATTTTGCTCTAGATCGGGCACTTATTGTCAAGCGCAAACATTGTTTCCATACTTCTGGCGCAACGTTTTATTGCTATAAAGATCCGACATGAGAGTTGCATGAATAGATTGCAAACTGTAACTTTTTCGCAACTCCATGCTCCCATGAAAAGCGGTGCGGCAACGAAATATCTTGGTGCGTTGGGTCATATTGAGAACTGTGTGCCAGGTAATGCCGTACCATGGCGCTTGGCAACAGGTAAACCGACCCTACAACCCATCCTTATCTACGGTTAGCGATCATGAACCAGCAATAACGCCAAGCACCAAGGAACAAAAAACTACGAAACAGGACGGCATCACACGAGCACAGGCCACTTGCTACATGATTTCCTCAGCCCTAATGCCTCTGTCGTGTTTCCCTCTTCGGGACTTTTCAACCCTCTCCTCGTTGACGCGGAGTTCGTAGGAACGGTGGTTCTCCTAAACCCAAAGAAAGATGGCCCTGATGTGCGGAGCAAGATGATGCCGTCGACCGATACCTCCTCTGAAATGAGCTTTGTTGGGGGTTGAGTGCACGACGACGGTTGACAGGGGAGCAGAGGGAGTTGATTGGGTGACATGGTGTTTTGTAGATGTTGAGGGGGGAGAATGTTGTCTGCCTATCAAGGGCGGACAAAACAAATTCCGACACCTAACCCCCAAAACTTTTTTTTGGGGCTCTCCGGGGGGGGTGCACTCATAGTCGTGCATGCCGTAGTCGTTTGACCATTGACCTCGCATCCCTACAAAGCCGGGACGGAGCACGCCGGGTTCTCCCCGGACCAGGCTCTCACATCACCAAGCGCGAAGCGCCGTGAGGTATTTGGCGAGTCGCATGAAGGGTGAGCTGCATCCTGCTAAGGGTGTTCGGCATCTTGTGCTTACTTCCTTGCGTACGGATGACAGCTACGTATGACTTAATTTATTTTCTGGTGCTTTCACTTCCAGAGACAGTTGTAAGCACTCTGTAACTGCCTCGAGGAAGCTTGACCAATTTAACACAACGTGGTGCGATCATCCCCCGTTGCGCGGAGTGAGGTTTCTCGACCCCGCACAACATGATCTACTCGACCACCATTATGGTTACGGCCAAAAAAAAAAAAGAGGTAAAAAAAAAAAAAACGGTAACCTGGTTGCCGAGTTCACGAAGTGACTCGGCTTGTTTTACAACGTCGTTGCCAAGTGACGAAAACTCAAACCCCGATAGCAAACACCGGGGGGGGCGGCTTGTTCTACAACGTCGTTACCAAGCGACGAAAACCCAAATCCCGATGGCAAACACCGGGGGGGGGGGGTGGGGGGGGTGG